TGTTCAATAAAAATCTTTCAAATGCAACTGTAGCTTTTTTTCACACAATACTTTTTCTTCAAAATAAGGGTGCGTCTTATACACTGGTGCGTCTTATATTCCGAAAAATACGGTATATACACAAACTATAGATACTGACAGGCCAAAATATAAAATATGAGCCTCCCACCTTTTTTATTTTCTGAGATACCAATAAATCGATCACACCCACCATAGAAAGTCCTCAAGAGTATTCATCTCTTTTTAATCACTTATTTGCTCATGCCTACTTGTGTATGATACATGTTTATAACAGCTCATGCCTACTTGTCAATGATACATGTTTATAACAGCTCTTGACTACTTGTCAATGATACATATTTATAACAAACAGAAAGGCCATTTTGTGAGCTACATGATTCTTATGATAGTCTATTTCGTTTTCCTGGTGAGTCACTATTCCACAAACAAATCTTGATGTGTGTGAAGTCAGTGCTCCAAAGAGTAATAGAATCATTATAGTCAATTTATTGCTTAGTTAAAAATCCAAATAAATTGTATTTCTGGCACATTATATTCTAGTGTCTGATATTTTTTAAACAACAAACATAGTTTAAAAAAAAAGATTTATGATAGTAGGAATCCAAGTGCAAACCAGCCTAGAGTTAATGTGTTAAATTTCTCTTTTTTTTATGTATACTTTTATTTGTTATATATATCTTTTTACAAAAGTAACTAAAATGTAAAAATTAAAAAAATTATTAGGTTATAAATGAAAACTTTAATGAAAAAAAAAAAGATTTCTAATGCTCACTCCTTAAGGAACACATGTAATTAGATGTTGCATAATGTAATGTGAAACTGTTTACCTTAGGAGCCTGAAACTTAGTAGAATAAATAAATGTAACTGTTACAATCTTCAGTCAGGTATTTTGGACTTTATTTCATATTTTTTCTAATTTACTATGGTTAGTGGCATGAGGGTAGAGAAAATATGAGATGGAGTATAAAGTTTTATTTGTAAAACTTTTGTTATTTATTTAAGAAGTTATAGGGGATATGTAAAAGAAGTATAAAAGCTGTATGATGAAAACTATTTTTATTCTTAGCATGAAAATGACTTTTCACTCGGACTAACTCGGAAAACATTTCATAAATCCACAGACAAATCCTTAGTAAAAATACTTCATCAAAAAATCTGTTTTGATTACAACACACTTGTAAATTTAATAAAAGCTTGTAATATTTTATTAAGATGCATTTAGCACATTCAAAATTATAGTATCTACACTTTCATGGTGACATGGTGGTTACAAGGTGAGTCAAAATGTCCAAGCCCATATACAAAGAGTTAACTTTATCTGGGAAAACCATGTCAGATGTGAAACATTTTATACAAACCTGATTTTAACACAACCAACCAGAAGTGAAGTAGTATTTTTGAGTAGCAGGGCTAGGAACAAGAAATTCCAGTAATTTCTTAGAGGTTTTGCATACACCATTGGAAAATCCTGAATGTGCTGTATCCAAATATACAATCCATATGATGGTAACTTATTTCAGTTGTAAATTAAGAGCAGTCAGAGAGACAGGGTTTCAACATGGCCACACAACTCTTAATACTAATGGTCACACACACAAATTTTTATCTCTTTCTTTTTGATCATCAAATCAATTTATACAACCTTTTGTTATTGTCCGTTTTAGGAAGGAAACCTTGTTCTTGATTTTTCTTATCTGGCAGAGGGCTACTACTATTACTACTATCCTTCTGTCAGCACCAAACCTATTTTTGAGTGCTACCACAGCATCTTTAGGCTTGACAGATGGATTTGCCTCAACAAGGATTGTCAAAAAGCCCATTGTGATCTTATGAACACTGGCTGCACAGGTTACAAGTTAAACATCTCAGAATCTTGCATATGCAAGTAAACAAGGAAATAATTGTGATTGATGATGACTTGCTGAAGAGTATCAAAGTTCCAGTCAGTGGCACTTGTATCTATTTGCTGAAGATCTGTTGGGTTGTGGTCTGAAAAACAGATGCAGTGACAAGCAAAGAACTAAGTGGTTTCTGCTGATTATGTGGTCAATCATAACTTGTTCAATTTCTGTCCAATTTGGAAAATGTAAATTGTAATCATGATATATGATTGTATGCTACACTCTGTTTAAGTTGAATCTAAATCAGTTAAGTCACACATTTTTGATCTCTGCTACTAAGACGTATTTGGTTGATGGAGAGAATCCAAGTTTAACTAAAATGCATATGTCAAAAACACTTGCAGTGAAAAATGGCCAACCACAATTTTTTGAATATTTTGGAAGTCAGTTGTAGCTTTCTGGTTGTATAACAATTTTCTAAAATGCCACAGATCAGATTATATTAACTCTTTCAACCCGGGTTCGGTCCCTCGGACTGACCTTGTAACCATTATGTGCTTGTTATAGTTTTCATGCTATAACTTTTAAATTAGTATGCGAATGTTAACACAATTTGGCAGTTTATCAGTAAACATTACAATGTTTTCATATGCAAAATATTTAATTTTTTATTAAGTCTTAAGGTTTGTAAGGCAATGTTTCTCTCGTGCCTTTTTTTCTTTTCACATCTTGCCTATCTAGCATGCAAAGTAATTTTCATTTTAACATTAAAAATACTTTTATGCAACAGAAAATTTTGAAATTTCACATGCAAAATCTTTATAATGCCCAGATAGTTATCAAATGTTTCTTATGAAAAAAACTATATTTTATCCGTTATTTTCAGTAATTAATCTCTGTATGGGTTCGGTAAATTTGACCGATCTCGCAACCACCATAAAAAATTAGGTAATAAATATAAATTATGCCTCTTTCATTCTAGAATGAACACACTTTATAACACGAAAACATAAAT